CTTTTCATGTTTATTGACCACTTGCATTTCTTCTATGACTAGCGTATTCATGTATGTTTCCCTTTTTTCTATTTCATTGTTTATCTTTGTTTGATTAACTCATGCAAGCCCTTCAATGGATATTAATACATTAATACATACATTAATACATTAATACATAATACATAATACATTAATACATAAAATACATTTGTATTTTTATCTTGCTTTCTGACTTCCACACATATTTAGTTTATTTTTATTTACCCCAAATAAAAAAAATATTTGCCAATGTTTACTTGTAGTAATCTATGATTCTGCTCCACATTTGAATTACATCAACATTTGGCTTTATATTTTAAGAGAAAATGTGCTGTGTTCAAGTTAAAAATTTAAAGTATAAATTTAACCTGTACTCACTGTACTCTTGTTTGGAAGGGGAAAAAATTGATCTTTAAAACCCATATTTGCAACACATGTTGACACCTTACATATTAAAAACAATTAAAAAATGGAAACATCTGTGAGCAGTTTCAGACAGATAAAAATGAGAAGGTTTCTATATTTTCAACATCGTCCTCCTTGTTTTAGGACTATCTTTACACACATTGAGCTTAGGCAACTGTCACCACTGTGAATTCATTGGCTGCTATGTTAAGAACTCTATTGTGGGAAACAATTTGAAAGGGAGAGCTTTTTCTGTGAAAGTTTCAAGATGTGTTCAATGATCTAAAATATTTCCAATAAGACATGTTGGAGGAGGCCGACTGTGGAAATGGAAAGAAGTCAACCAAAATCTTCAAATAAAGTTTTGTATATACTCAATTAGAACCTTTTACTGAAGTTCAAGACCTAGATTATTTTGTTTATTTTATTCTTCATTAAAGTGCACCTCTGCCTTAAACTAGAAGTTAAGTGCCAAAATTTTATGCATGTGTCTTCTCAAAGTGCTTCTAGAAAGATGGGAAACAGGAAGTACTGAAAATCCTGTGAGAAACTCTGTCTTCAGATTTCTAGCTCTATTTGTATAGATTTAGGTACACAGTTTCGTAAATTGTTGTTTCGTGGAACATGCATCCTAAAACATGTGTCATGATAAAAACTGTTTATTTAATCTAGGCTTCCCCAAAACTTGACAGAGGGATTCTTAACAAGTGAACACCTGATAAAAACATACTGAATGCACTCTAGAACACAGTGTACTGGAGTGTAGATTCAGCATCCACGTTTCGGATTATGCCTTTGTGTGTAAACTAAACTTGTTGCCCCAGGCCATCATCAGGGAGAATTATAACTACTTTGGCTATTTAATTTTAAGACACTAGAGCTGTAATGTTGTCCTTCACATCAGCCTTCATTTATAGAGGTCTCTGTATCTAGCTGAAGTGACCTCTCCCAACTGATACGAAGAGGGAAAATGTAAGAGAACCAGTAAAAGTCTTCAGGACAAAACTGGATAAAATTAAATTTAATGGCAAAGCAGTTAAGGCAGAGTGATGTTTAAGAAAATCTCAGTTCAGATTTCAAAAAAACTGGCTTGACAAAGAAACTTTGTTTTTATGCATGTAAAAGATTGGTAGGTTGAAATATTGTGAAAGACAAGCTCCCAGAATAACCAGATGAAGCTAAGGAGATGTTAAAGTAATGCCTTGATTCCTGATAAAATATAAATGGGTGGAAGAAGTAGGTATATTAGATATATTTGATTATACCAAATCAAAGTGGAGCGACTCTCATGCTAGCGTTCATAGCACTGGGCTGTCGTGGGCACATTTCTAGTCTGACAAGTTATAAGACATGGCTTTTTATCTTGGTTCTGACACCACAAGAGCACAATTTTTGGATGAGATATTTAGATTCATACTAACTGGGACTTGTAATATCTACTAAGTCTGAATCTCTATATTGCTTTAAGAATCAAAGGAGAAGGGTTTTAAAGTGCTACCCAGTTATAATGGTATATTACAAGAATGTGATTAATAAATAGAGATGGCATGTGAATTTTTCTGGCAAGAAAGTTTTGGATTCAAACCAGTTTGGAATGATGAGAAGAAGGGGCTGACTTCCCAAGTAAATAACTAATGGATGAGAAGTATCAAAGGAAAGAGAATAGGGTTTTTTTGGAAGCCAAACGTGAAGAGAAGATGGAAATAAGGGATGAGCAGTGTCAGAGAAAACGGAAGGGCCAAGAGGAGATCAGTCTTGCCTGAAGAAGTCTAAAAAGTTATAATTAACATAAAGGATATACTTAATAAAATTAGTAATTCCTACAGTGTAAAAGTTGCTAAAGGAACTCCAAGTGAATAAATGAGATGAGAAAATGGCTGGAAGAGATGGTGAACTGAAGCAATGTGACATGTTTCCAGTTTGCCTGTAGTTTCATGCATATTATTTTTTCCTGCATATATTCCATTCCAAAACCTGTGAGGTGTCTGTGATGCAGAACAGGGTTCTTACTTCTGTGAGCAGTTCCATCTATACTTTGCATAAATATCTATTTTAAGATGACAGGCTATGTTGATTTCTTTTGATACCTGGTAGTCATGGTGCAGTAAAGGTTGTTCAGTGAATTATGAAAATTAATGTTTTTTTTTTTTCCAACGTGTTAAGTGGATATTCTTTTTACTCAGAAAATTCAGGCCTTTTCTTCCATAAACCTGTGCCCAGAGTTGTTTCCTTTGGCAACAGGAATTCTTTGATCAACTTTAAATTCTCAGCTCCTTCCGAATTATCCTGAAAAACAAAACAAATAAACAAACAAAATTCCTTTACTGACATTTCAGTTAGTAACCATCTTTAAGTATATATTCTCTTAAATAGGGAGCACATCAAAAGAAGTAGACAAACATTGAAACATTGGTGTAAAACTCCCCCCCCCCCATAACATTATGTCTGACATGGAAGTTTCTTACAGCTGCTGTTGTTTTATTTGATGTATTCTCTCTAAAAATAAATCCCTAGAGTAGGAATGGCATCATTTTATGTTTTACATCATGCTGAGAACACTATTGGCATTTAACAAGTAATAAATACAAGTTATAACTATAGCATGATATTTTCTAAACCTGAATGTTACCTACTGATTAGGAAAAATGAAAGGCCAATGTTCATCTGTTTTTAGAAACAAAATGGCAATTCAGATTTTTATCCAGTATTATATGACTACATCATCCAAATTTTGATCTTTACATTATTATCATTTTAACTTTTACTTTTTTAAGTTTAGTGTTTATTTATTTTTGAGGGGGGTGTACACAGAATCTGAAGCAGACTCCATGCTCCAAGCTGTCAGCACAGAGCCCGACACAGGGCTCAAACTCACAGACTGCGAGATCATGACCTGAGTTGAAGTCGGACACTTAACCGACTGAGCCGCCCAAGCACCCCTACATTATTATCATTTTAACAGCCAATTCTTGGCAGTATACTATAACCCTTGTGAATTTAAAAGACAATTTTTTTTGTAAGTTAACTGATTTTATATTATGAGCATCTTGTATCTGATCATTACCCCTAGGAGAATAAACAAAAATAATTAAAAAGTAAACTGAAAATGAGCCTAGAGACATGGCTTTTCTTATCTTGCACAAGTCACAGAGCTACCCCAAATGGGTCTCAGTGGAAATTTTCACATGTGAATCTGGACATGCTACCCAAGGTGTCGTAAATTAGTAGGGTGATATGAATAGAAGCATCCCAGTATTTTTCAGGCTTGGTATAATAGGCAACATGCCTGTCATATTCTGAGGCACATTTTCTTGGAAGACAGGTTTGTTGGCAATGATCCAGAATGCCCAAGAGCAGTTTTCTCCACACTTGTTAATCTGTGTACAGGCTAATCAGATATTCCAACTTGTCCCCTAGAACATCAAGTAGGAAAATTTGGCTCTTCTAACAGGCTCTGTTTTATGATTTTAAGTATTACATGTAAAACATTCCCTGGAGTCCCCTTTTTGAAAACTTATAGGAATGATTCAGTGCTACATTTCTCCAAGGTAAATAAGTGCCCAGTCTGGTATGTTACATTTGAATAACACCTTGTAAACGAAGGGCTAGTTGGACTTTCTGATTATGGAACTGAGAAAGAATAAGGATTTCCTCTGAGGAATCTTAGTATATTATACACTCTATAAAATGTAAATACTTTTTATTTACAGTTGGTTGCTAGGATCCAAGAGTGCTTCTGCATTTTCTATCATTTTTAATGTGCAATATGCAAGGGGAGTATCTTTTGAAGAGTTGTGAGAGGAGGTTTCTCAGCTGAAGATTACATCACCCTGAGCAAAATTCCAAGTCTTTTTGTAAAACCATGCCACCAGCCTGTGGTCTTCCTTTTCAGAACCATTTATGCAGTGATCTGTGAACTTGTGGTGCTTTTAGGCCTCATTCTGAAACTTAAGTTGAGAGACAAAATAAGCTGCGGTTATGATGCAGGACCAGGCATCAAAAATCCCAAGAAATCTAACTCACTTGATTTTACATAGCTTACTTTCTGGTCCTGTGGTTTCTGCATCAATATACTGTTACCTAGCCCCAACAGAACTATTGTGAAATTTAATCATTGTTAATATTTTGAGAATCCTAGATGAATGAAAAGTAAATTTAAAAAAATAGTTTCTATATTTTGTTCATATTTTTTCCTGAACTATTCTATCAGTTTCTCATTGGACCTATTTTCTTAATGAATGTTGAACTGTAACTTTTACAGACTCTGATCATTTGGGTTCAAGTCCGCTACCTTGGATATGAGATATACCCTAGGAATGAATTATATTTAAGAAACTGACGTTACTCTGACAACAAATGGTCTAGTAATTCTTCATTTGATATGCTATATATATGTCCTAATTTAATATATGCATTAAATATTTATTTTATATATAGTCTGAGTCTTCATTTATAAAATATTTCTACTGTGACGTACCTAACTAAAATTGCTGACTTTAAATAAACTCAGGAACTAGTTGAATCACATTTCTGTATACTGTTTTTAAAATAGTCGTGTCTTTATTTCCTTGTAGTTTATTAGAACATAAAATCTTAGAAATGGAGGGAAAGCACAAGGAAGAGTTGGACACCTTAAAAGAAGAGAGAGAGAATCTTCAAGTCTTGGTTACTCGTCAAACATACATTATTCAGGAACTGGAGAAACAATTGAACAGAGCCACCAACAATAATAGTGTCCTTCAGAAGCAGCAGCTGGAACTGATGGATACTGTGCATAACCTCGTCAGCCTTTGCACTAAAGAAGGTGGTAAGAATTTCTTCAGTGTGGCATAGTAGATACTTGATTTAACATGGAGCAAGTAAATATTCAATATAACTTTCTTGGTTGTATTGATTGCTGTATAAAAGCAGTAAAAAGAACATTAGTCTCAGAAGCATTTCATGAAATTTGCACTCACAATTTTCTCATTTTTTAACTTCAGAGAATGTATTCATAAGCTCGAATTTGTGAATTCACAATATATTCACTAAAAGAATGTGCTGTTTTTTTCTTTCTTGCTTGCTCTTAGATAAAATCTGAAATACTGTCGTGGATAAATATTTGATGTCATGGTGGTAGACATTTAAATATAGAGGGCAGGAATTAGCCAATATTCAAGGTTGATTCAGAGTCCTGGGGAGAGTTTCAGGAAGATTCCCATATTAAAGCTAATGTTAAATATTTCTTTTGTAGAGGGGGAGAAAGAGGAGTCGCCTGCAGGGAAAAGGAGATATAAAAGTTACCAATAACTATTGTGAAGGAGAAAGAATCTTTATTGTTAAAGGCTTTTATTAAGATAACTTATGTTTAGTCCTGTGTGGAGAAGACCTAACCAGAACATCCAGGCATATTTATTCTGGGGTGTCTTTGTGACAATGGAAGTGCAATTTTTTTTAATTCCAGTATAGTTAACATATATAGTTATATTAGTTTCAGGTGTTGGAAATACAAATTTTTAATATGATTGGAATATCTGGAGCCATTTGACCATTGACAATATTTAGGGCTATGTGTCTTCAGAAAATATTTATCCATTTGCCCAGCCCCACCCAACGATTATTGAATGAATGCCTCTGGGTGTGCTCATCCACTTCACGCAGATCCTCTCCCTAGCCTCAGGAGGGCTCTTCAAAGTTTGAAGCTTAAAGTCATCTTCTGTAGTGGTGCTTCGCTAATCAGCCTTTCTCTGAGTGAAGATGCAAAGAATCCTAAATAGTGATGAGTGAAAGAGACCACTTCCATCTGAAAGCTATGGTTGTCACTAAACTGTGGCATATGTGACCATTCACATGGTGGTTCAGTGTGCATATGCAGTACACAGACTCCTTTAATTTAACAGTGGGCTTGAGTTATCTGAAAAATTAGCTCTATTCCATGCTTTCATGTATAGATACGAATATAGATGATAATTCCATCTGAAGTGATCTTGTTTTAAAGACATTTCACATTTCTCTATTACACTCCATTACCTTGAATTCTATCTCCTTTAGATAGTCTAAACAAGTCCTTCATATACTTTGTAAAAAATATTTTTAAACAGTAAGTTCCCAGAGCTCCATTTGGGTGTACTCAGAAATGTGATTGGGAAGGAAAAAACCTGCTAATCAGTCAGCGCCTGCCAAAACCTTGAATTAGAGTCCACTGGAAAGAAAGCATGGTATGATTTTGCCAGAGAATTTTAATAGAGCTCATGAGTATTTAGAAATTAAGTATTAATATGAGACATATCTATTCTCATATTGAACTGAATACATTAGGGGGTACATTGAAAACATATTTTTCTTATCATCCTGAGACTTAAAGCACATGGAGTTGAGTATTTCTTTCTTTTTTTTTTTCCATGATGTTAGAAATATCAAGCCCTGGTGATTCTCACAGAGCTCATATGTCTGCCTGCTTATCATAATTTCACTTCTTTTCTGAGTATTTGTCTAACAAATATGTCGTTAAACTTTTAGAGCCATGGGTGGGAGTGACTGCAAAAGTAAAATTCCTGGCTGGGTTTGGAGTTTGGGTGCAACGTCAGGCAACCAAACATCTGTTCGAGAAACATTTATTAAGCAATTATGATCCTAATAGATGCTACCCATCACATACACTCAGGGTAGAAGAAAAGTAACTATATCTCTTTTGTCATATAGCATATCCAAAACAAATAAAAATAATAGAGACAACTTGTCTAATACTTCTCTTGATATTTATTTTCCTTTTAATGATACAATCCTAAAATGAATTCCAATTTAATTACAGGACTTGTGATCCTCATGTAACTCTATTGCCCCATTTTTCCAATGGGTTCTGTGCTCTTATAACCATCGGTTTTATTTGCTTCTTGCTAATCTTTGTTTTAATTCTGTAGTTAAGCATTCTAACTAAATATTTGATCATTTAAGGACTCATAGATGACACAAAATGGAAATGCCTCTTATTGAGGCATCCATCAAGATTTTAATTCTCTGCATATCTTCATTTTCACTGGTGCCTTAGTCTTCAGTTACGGTGAATATAAAATTTTAAATGATGCATATATCATAATACTGGATTAAATATCAGTCACTAAAATGAATTTTTTTTCATTTTTATTCTAAAACATATAAGTAAACCCTTTCCCAACTTTTGTGACCAACAACTTATTTATCAAATGGATTTATTATTTATCAAAGGATTATATGCAAATATTCTACTTTTAAATTTAAATATATGCATGTACATCTAAATCAATATATCACAATAAATGCATAAATTTTTAAAAATATATATTTTAAAAATTCAAAGAGAATTCTTCTGAAAGCTTTTCCAAAATCCTCACGAGCTGTGTTAATGATAAAAAAGCCAAAATGTTTAATTGACTTTAAGGGTCCTCTGTTTCCAACTTGACCCAGTCACTTCTGGAGACGGCCTGAACATATCACTACAAAGTAAGAGAAGAAATTTTTAGTGCATTTTCTCTGTCATCGGCAACTAATTTAACCTTTATTACAAAATGTTTATTACAAAATGTTTCATCATTTTGTAAAGTCAGGATAATTGTGTGTACTTCTTAGTGATAGGGAAAGGATTAAGTTAGGTACTGCATGTAAAGGCAAACAGCGCATGACATAGTTGACTCATTAAACTTTAGTTCTTTCTTTCTCTTCCAAGTAACAAGATTCAGTTAAACACAAATTTATTAAGTGCTATCTATAAGCAAAATTTCTTTCATGGAAATTGTCTGAACACAATGCTCAAGAGTTGAGAATCATCCAAACTCTTTCTTTTAGCTTTTGTTTTCTTGTCTAAAAGGGGATCATAATGCATACCTGATGAGTTTATAGTAAATTAAAAGACATTTTTATAAAACATATAGCATCAGTGCCCATCCACAGTAAATGCTGAAAAAATTGTAGTTAGTTTTATTTTTATGGCTTCTAAAGTGCTTAAAACTCACTAAAGTTACATGATAAAAACATTCTTAGGAAGTGCCGGCTGGAAATTTATCATTTCCCCAAACGTGTTCGGCCCAGGAATTGTGAATCCATCTTTGCACATAGGGATTATTTTTGTTTAGTTTCACAGAACTTTTCCTACTAAAATATCTAATGTCATAAGATGCATTTAAGCTAAGTACAATTTTTGACAAACACATTTTCTTAAATAATTCACCAACCTGTCCTCTTCTTGTTCCAAACAGGCAATAGTGGTGTTCTAGGCAAATAATCATTTCAAACTGAATTGCATCCATTTTGTAAGTCTTCTGGGTAAGATACTTTTTTTTGTCTTACCTTTGTCTGCAGACATTTGGTCACATTTATTCTTAGAAACATTACCCACTAAAAAAATATTGCCCTCAATGTTATCATAGCGTCAAAACTTAGCTGATTGCTTCATGGTTTTGGCAATTCACAGTTATTGCTGGACTTAAAAAGTTTACATTGATAATGGCATGGAAACAAGGCTTTGCATTCTTTTGGGAAGGATAGTCAGGGGCTGTGACTGTCAGACATTCACCATTCATATTTCTGTTCAGAAGTGATTAAACCATCGCCACATACATTGAGCACACACAAGGGAAACATATTATGTGATCAAGAATTTAATTCGTAACAGTGCACTAAAAAAGAAAGAGAGTAAAAAAAGAAAATAGTATTTAGCCTCCACCCTCCACCATGGGCTGATTTTCTTACTGTCTAAATCAGCTTGGAGCATACTTCTGCTATACCAAGGTACGGTTAATAAATTTATCCATTCACTTAAAAATAGTTATACAGCAACTGTTATGTTTCTTATTCCTTTCTGGGTATAAGAATATTCCTCTCATCCATTTCTATTTAACAAATATTTTTTGAGTTCTTGTTATATAGCAGATGGGGTTTGGACCACTGGGTAGAGAGAAAAGATGTAATTCAGTCCTTAGCGTCAAGGAAACTAGAGTTTGGTGGGGAGAGAGACAGGTAAACACACAATGACATTTCATAAACGTTTGGTAGAGGTGAGGCCAACATGCCAGGACACTAGTGAAATATACAAGAGAAACATTAAAATCATGACAGAGACATGATGAGGGCAGAATACAGCATCTACAGTCTTAAGGATGTTGTTGAGTGCTTACTATGATTCAGGCATTGCTTAAACTCTAAGTGTATTAACATAGTCCCCACAATAACAGTATGAGGTAACTACTATGGTTCATCCCATACCTAAATGCGTAGCCTAAATCTCAGAATCAAAGCCAGGAAGACAGTGAAATGTGGAGTTAGAGAGGTAAACTGAAGGAGATCAAGGAAGCTGCATTTTTTTTTCTCTGAAAGGAAAAAGGGGTCATGCTAATATATGAGGACAATATTGACATTTGCATTTTAGAAAAATTACCCAAGTCACATTGTAGGAAGAATGTATTGGAGAGTTGGTAAGCTTGGAAGTAGAAGGACCAGATAGGTATGTTTGCCATTTTTTAAACATTAGCAAATATTTGGAGAGTAAATACAACCTTCTGAGCCCTTTGCATATATTAACTCATTCAGTTCTGATAACAGCTCTTTAAGCATGTGCCCTTATTAGCTTTATTTGACAGATAAGGAGACTAAACATAGAGAGGTAAATAATTTCTAAATATCACACTGCTAGCAAACGAGCAAGCTGAGATTCGAACCCAGAGTCTGATTCTCGAGCCTGTATGTTATCTAATATACTATGATGGGGAGGGAAGAGAAAGAGTTGATAGTGGTTTTCATCCGATTCTCAAAAGGATCCCCTAGGAGAGAAATAATGAAGTCAGATTCAAAGGGGGA